AGGTATTGGCCTTTAGCATTTTGAATAGGAATTGGTTGCCAGTTCCAATTTCCATAAGGGTTTCTCCTACGTTTTCTAAGATTCTTATAGTTTGAGGTTTTTCATTTAGGTCTTTGATCCATTTAGAATTAATTTTTGTGTGGTGATAGATAGGAGTCCTGTTTCAATCTTCTGCATATGGTCAGCCAGTTTTCCCAGTACATTTACTGAATAGATTCTCCTCTCCCCAGAGGTTGTTGTTGGAGGCTTTGTCAAAGATGAGTTGGTTGAGGTTTGAGACTTTGCTTCTGGAATCTCTACCCTCTTCCATTGGTCTATGTGCCTGTTCTTGTACCAATACCAGACTGTTTTGATTACTGTAGCCTTATAGTAAAGTTTGAAGTCTGGAAGTGTGGTACTTCCTGCTTTGTTTCTTCTGCTAAGGATTGATTTTACTATTCATGGTCGTTTATGTTTCCATATGAATTTCTGTATTGTCATTTCCAGGTCTGATAAGAATGATGTTGGTAACTTAAGGGTATTGCGTTGAATCAGTAGATTGTTGTTGGTAGGATGGGCATTTTAACAATGCTGATTCTTCCTATCCGTGAGCATGGAATATTTTTCCATTTGTTTGTGTCTTCTTGGAGTTCTTTGAGCAGTGTTTTGTAGTTCTCATTGTAAAGGTCTTTCACTTCTCTGGTTAGGAAGATCCCAAGGTATTTCATTTTTTGTGTGGCTATTGTGAATGGGATTGTGCTTTTAACTTAGGTCTCTCCCTGCTTATTGTTGGTGTTTAGGAATGCAACTGTTTTTTGCACATTTATTTTGTATCCTGAAACTTTGCCAAAGTCCTTTATCAGTGCTAGCAGGTTTTTGACAGATTCTCTTGGATTTTCAAGGTATAGGACTATATCATCAGCAAAGAGGTATATTTTCCTATTTAGATACCCCTGATTTCCTTCTCTTATCTAATTGCCCAAGCTAGGACAACATTTTTCAAAACAGTAAGAGCCATCTATGATAAACCCACAGCCAACATGCTGCTCATTGTAGAGAAGTTGGAAGCTTTTCCCTGAAAACGGGAACAAGACAAGGTTGCCCACTCTCACCTCTCCTGTTCAATATAGTGCTGGAAGTCCCTACTAGAGAAATTGGGCAAGAGAAGGAAATCGGGGGTATCAAAATAGGAAGAGGAAGTTAAGCTATCCCCCTCTGTGGATGATATAATCCAATTCCTTGAAAACTTAAGGAAGTTTTCACCTAAAAGCTCCTTGTACTGATAAATGACTTTGAGAAAGTTTTGGAAAATACAGTGTGCAAAATACAGTGCCATTTCTATACAACAGTAACAAACAGGCAGAGAACCAAACAAAAAGCTCAATTCTATTCACAATAGTCACACACATGCACAAAATACCTTGGCATCTTCCTAACCAGAGACGTTTAAGACCTTTACAATGAGATCTTCAAAATGCTGCTCAAAGAGGTCAAGGAGGACACAAACAAACGGAAAAACATCCGTTGTTTATGGACTGGAAGAATCAATGTTTTTAAGATGTCCATCTTACCCAAGGCAATCTACAGATTTCACGCAATACCTATCAAAGTACCAGCACCATTCTTCTCAGACCTGGAAATGACAACACAGAAATTCATATGGAAACAAAAAAGAGCAAAAATAAACAAAGATCCAACAATTCCCCTCCTGGCAATATGCCCAGAAGAACACAAATTATTCTACAAAAGACACCTGCACTGCACAGGCATGTTTATTGCTGCACTGTTCACAATAGAAAAAACATGGAAACAATCCTTATGCCCATTGAAAGTAGACTGGATAAAGAAAATGTGGTACATATGCATGATGGAATGCTTCATAGCCATGAAGATGGAAAAAATCATGGACTTCCATCAGCAATGAGATGGAATTGAAGGCAATCATTCTTAGCGATCTATTGCAGAAACAAAGAACTGAATGCTATATGTTCTCACTCATAAGTAGGACCTGAACATTAATCACAAAAGCACAAGGGAAGAATCAGCAGTCACAGGACACTACCAGTCATGGGAAGGAGGGGCATGTAACAACACAAAGTGTACCTGATCCTTTACCAGGGGAAATGAGGACCAGTTAGAGGCCAAAACTTCACCTGCAGATATATTACTTGTGTACCTTAATCCTGACTTGTACCCCACATTTTTATAATAAAATAAAAAATAATAAAATAAAAACAACAAGGCTTGGCATCAAAGGCAGTGAGCAGGAGGGGAGAATTCACACCAAGTGGTTCTGGGAGTGAGTACAGTCAGCGGGCAAATCTCCGTGATAATATTTAGAAATTTAGGGGATCTATAGAGGAAAAGAAGCAAGCCAGGCAGCCAGATGCTGCTCCACTTCCCAATCCGTGTCTGTTGGCCTCAAAAGTCACAAGCGAGGACCAGGAATACTACCTGGGCCAGGAATCCTTGAGGTCTGTGGCTCTGAGTTGGACTCCTGAAGCTCTGTTTGTCTTCTGTTCTCAGGATCCTTGATTTAAAAGAGCTAGGTCTGGTATTCAGCTAGAATAATCAGTTTGGAAGTGGATATAGAAATACAACATTTGTTATTTAGCCAAAAATAAATAGCATTGTAGGCTGTCAGTTACCACTCCTTGCCTGCTATTTTTCATGCTGTGGGGTATAAACAAATCCCTGTGGGGTAGTATCATTCTGCCAATAGCTGTGCCACATTCATTCAACACATTTCAAGGCACTTGCGACAGACCATACAACTTCCGGTCCAGTCCAACAACTAAGGTGTAGTAAACAGTTGTGAATGAAGGAAAGAGGAAGTCAGTCAGTGAGAAGAGGAGCTTTGGGTCTCAGACTCAGAATTCAGACAAGTAGAGTCCCCATGTCCTGGAGAAAAATGTTTCCTTTTATGTCTCCTTCCAGGATGCAGTGACATTGCTCTTACCTCTTCTCTGTCTCCTTCTCTTCAAACTTGACCTGCAAACCATCTTCAGCTAAAGAAAAAAGTCATCAGAGCCAGATCAGGTGAGTAGGGAGGGTGTTTCAATACAGCTATTTGTACAGAGCTGCCCATGTAAGTGCACAGTGCCAAGTTCAGAAACTTAATTGTTAGACCTCAACAAATAATGACAACAGCTTTGATGGCCATTCCAGAAAAAGAGTTCCAAAATTGCTTTGGACATTGGCATCAGTGCATAGGTTCCCAAGGGAAGTACTTCAAAGTTAACCATAGTGATATTCAACAATGAGATCTGTAGCACTTTTTCTAGAATGGTTCATAAAGCTAATTGTTGGAACTTATATTATTAGCATTGCCTTTTTTGTTGTTGTTTTGTTATCCAATTTTATTCTTTATTTATTCTACATTGTTAGCATTGCCTTTTTATTGTTGTTTTGCTTATTTAATTTTATTTATTTATTCTATACCTATTTATTATTTATTTATTTCTTACTTTTTGGCACTGCAAAATGTTCTTGGCTCATCTTGTATATTTTCTTTCCTGGCCCTAGAATGAGTCATTTCTCTAAGAACCTGGGCTCCTTATATTGGAGGGTGATATTAGAAACAAAGATCTGGGCCTCAGATATGCTTGTTATTACTGTGATGTCATTTCTTCTAGGCTCTCTCAGTTGACAGATCAAGAAAATATGTGTGTGTATACCACTCATATACATGCACATATAAATATTTCTATATGTAGCCACCATCTGTTTATATATTGAGCTAAATATGAGTTCATATTGATGTCTCCAGCTGTAATCCATGACCACATGCTTCCTTTTAGCTTTTCTTCCTGTGCTTGCCTATAAACTTTTACTTTAACAGTGAGAAATCTGGCTTCTACCATCCACCATCTATTTACTCAATTGCTCAATTTCAGCATACATATATTGTATAATGATTTCAAAACTGTAAAACTGTATCTATGGAAAACAGCTTTATCTACTAGAGGACAGTGGTTATATAATGTTCTCTTTGCCTCTAGTCTTACAAACTCCAGTCATTTCCAAAGTTTCTTCAGGCTAGTATTGTTCTTCCTCATTCTTTTTGGTGAGGTTATTTAATACAATTTTCAATATGGTAGATTTCTCTTATGTAGTACACATGCATTTCATTCTAAGATTTAAAAAATAAGATACAATAAAAAATAAATTGAAATAATTGAAATAGTCACATGATTGAAAACTCCAAAAGTATTAAAAAATATAATTTTTAACCTTGGTCACCCAAGCAGTAAATTTTTTTTGCACACAAATTTATTTTATTTTATTTATTTTTTTGTTTGGTTTTTGAGTTGGAGTCTCACTCTGTCGCCCAGGCTGGAGTGCAGTGGGATGCTCCCAGCCACCACAGCCTCGACCTGCTGGGCTCTGGCAATCCGCCTCAGCCTTCCAAGTAGCCGGAGCTACAGGCGTGTGCTACCACGCCTGGTTAATTTTTGATTTATTGTAGAGATGAGGTCTCGCCAAGTTGCCCAGGTGGATCGCGAACCTGCGGGCTCACGCAATCCACTCACCTTGGCCTCCCAAAGTGCTGGGATTGCAGGCTGAGCCACCAAGCCCGGCCTCACACACAATTTTTTTTTTTTTAGAAAAATGAAAGCTGATTTTTATTTTATCATCAACAGCCATTCTTTAAACATGAACATGCATACGTAATATTCTACGCACACATCACAGTTTTTAATGTTAGTTAATAAAGGTTAAACACACAACATACATCCTTACAAAAAA